AGTCTCTATCCTTGGATGTGTTCAAAGCCACTGGACTCAGCACTGAACAACTTCCTCTCACTGATTCTACTCTGAGCAAGGAAGGGCAGACCAGACATTCTCCAGACATCCTTACCAGCCTCAGCTTTCTGTGAAATCTTAGACTTCTTACTAGTGTTTAATATTAGAGAACTTTTTGTCTATGCAGTTTTTAAATATGGAAATGTTTTAAACCATACATTCTCTTACTTTCTCCAAAACTACTAGGAGAAATAAAACAAAAATTTTTAAGAACATCCCTAAAGCACCTTCTTATAAAGGAACTTCAAGATTTGGTTCTGATCCAGCATTAGAAAGACACCAAATAACATTTTAAAATGCGAGCTTCTGGACACCAGCAGGACAAACACAGTTAGCCATCACATTCTAGTGAAACTTCTTTGTTTTGCAAAAGTAGAGAACAGAGAGAAGCAAGACAGTTCCAAGTAGACTTTTCTATAGTGGCTGAGCATGTTCAAGTGCATCTGTTTGCATCCAGAAACCTAGCATCAGGAAGCTATCTTATCAAAAGCAAAAATGGATGTCAGAATAATTCTGAACTTCCTCAAAATGATCATATAGGCCAGAAAACCAAGTAGTATGGTTAACTCTGACACGTGGCATTCGTGCATATTTTTACCTAGTGGAAAACATGAAATTTAAACTGTCTTCCTCTTTCTCCATCCTGTCAGCACTATTCCTATTTCCTCCTATACTGAGTTTAAACTAGGTGCATATCAGATGGTTAATCTTCTGAGGCATAAACCAACCAGAATTCCAGACTTTCACTTAAAGTTCTGTGAACTCAATTCTAAAGCTCAAGATATGCCAAAGCAGTCTTAAAACACTCCAACCTTTATTTGCAAAAGATACACAGAAATGTTTTGCCTACAGCAGAGAAATAATACTCATCTTCCCCAGATATGCTACTTATTAATCTGTCCAAACGTTTTCCACATCTTCTTGGCAAGCAACAACACAAATAAATCATATAAACCATTCCTCCCAACCTTTTTGTTTGTTTTAAGACTAGCAAATCAGTGCAGCCCATTTCACACAAGATGCAGCTACACACCTCAGATGGGGCAGTTGTCTCTGACAGCTCCCATTCCTTGGCAGCTGTCTGAGCCAAGTTTTCTCAGCCAGCCCACTACTCTTCCCAATTCTCCCACCCTCCAGACCTCCCACACAACCTCCCATCAGTCTTGCACTGCATCCTCACCTATCCAATCCCACCCAGCACAACCATAAGAATGGCCCTTGTGAGCATGAGAGTTCCAAGACAGCCTTTAGCTTTGCATTACAATGAAGTAAAAGAACAAAAACAACTGGTTATCATCTCAGCTTTCTATCTTCTTAAACAATCATCTGATCATGCTACAGCTGTACAGCTGGTCATCAAGGCTCTATTTGACCTAAATCTGTCTGCTCTTTTGTTTCCTCCCTTATGCACAGCTTTACCATCTTCTGCTTTGCTTCACATTTTCATCTAATGCTAAAATCTTTGCTGATGTTTAAACTGGAGTGAGTGTTTGTACTTAAATGAAAAAGAATCCTAAATGTGAGTTTGAAGTAGAATTATTAGTCAAAGATAGAAGACCCAAACTAAAATCTCTCAGATTTTAAACTCCCAAGACAGAGAAAGTCATCCTGAGAGGCTAAAACATGAGCTGTCATTCAACATCAGGCAGTAGCACCTACCATCCCAGCAAGGCTCTCACAAAGATCAGCAGGCAGCAATACTCAAGGCAAAGTTCCCATGGCAAGTGTTTGAACCAACCATGGATGTACCAGTACGGCAACCAAGTAAAAGATTCTCAGATAAGCAAGCCACAAACTCAGGGCCATCTACGTTAATATCAAACACCATCAGGCAACATACTGGTGTTGGTTGATCATTAGGCAGGGTAAATCACGGTGTCAAAGCTGAAAGACAGCGGTCTTCGTCAATGTACAAAGATCGGGTCAGCAGTAATGCCTGCTAGTGCCTCTCATCCAAAACGAAATACAGTTCCAACCAGAATCATCGGCCAAGCCGAAAACCTTGCTGTCTGAAGACAGCCTGTCAGGTCATTGACAGGATGGAAAGGAGAAGAGGATTGAGTTTAGTTCTGTCCATTGGCTTCTTCATTTGCTTTTTATTACAAGCAGCTTCCATTTTCATTAGTCTTTTTACTTCCTCACTAATCCTTTCAGTGGTGTAACAGCAATGCCCATTCAAACAGTATGCCTGGACTCCGATACTGATAGAGAATCACAGGATAATTTCAGCTGGAAAGGACTTCTGAAGGTCACCTGGTCCAACCCCTGGACTCAAAGCAGGGCCAACTAGATTATTACAAACACAATCACATGTGCTCCAGCTCTTCCCCAAATCCCAGACACGCAATATTCCCCGCACTCCTATGGGAGTTTTGCTGCTGCTTTTAAATCATACTGCTGGTCTCTTGGGGAGCAGCTGCAGCATACCATTTCAGCCAGGAAAGCAGTATGCTAGCCCAGCATGCTGGCTCCAGCCCTGCCAGTTTCTACCAAGCAAATGTCAGTAAAACAGTAACAAAATAACCCTGAAACAACAGCACCGCTACCTCTTTAAGTGCAGGCTCTTCAAGGACTTCTAGGAGGAAATACCTGGTTTGACTTCTATTACCCATTTGTGTGGATTCAGAGTTCTACCAGATGATCAGCAGTCAGAACTGCAGTCCAGGTATAGATTATAACAGGAAAAAGCTGTCCTCCCACTGCAACATTAGGCACCATCACCCATGCACAGGTCTCAAACTGACTGAGATATACTCCTAGGAAAGGGATGAGCACCACAAACTGCAGGAAGACAGTTATGTCTGTCTGTGCACATAGATTTCATTTCCCATATGACTTATGAGGTACCTACAATTTAAGCCTTTTTAGCTTCTTCCTCCTTCTTTCACCCTCTAATACAATAAACACAAGGGTCGAGGAAAAAAAAAAGAATCTTTATCGCACTAAATCTTTTTTGTTTTTCTGTTTTTCACAAGGAATGTATTTCAGGGCCTTTGGTCCCTCCCCTCTCTTTATTAAGGTCATCTTAATTAACTCCAGTGTCTAGTTCAGCTACTGCTAGGTATCTCCTTCAATTTATATTTAGTTTCCACCCAAAATATTCTGAATCATTCAAGAGTTATGTTGTAGGAGTGTAAAAATTACCAGAATGCTATAACCTAACTCATGGAAGATATGTAGGAAGGGCCTATCTGCATGTATGGAAAGTAGTGAGTGAGCTTATGTTCACTTAGTTTTTAACTAACATTTTGGCTTCTCTTGAATTACATTTGCTTTCCCCTGAAAAACCTCTTATACATTAACAAAACAACATATTAATTTAATAGGAGTAAAGAAGTACCACAACAAAACTGCTTTGCCCATTTTGAACTGCTGGGAACCATTTGTCCTGTGCCAGCATTCCAGTATCCTGTCAGACCTACTGCTTATCCTAATCAATCAATCCATCCCCAAGATGCACAATTCCAGCTGTACAACAAGAACAACCTTAAAGGTGGATATAGGAAAGCAAGCAATCATTTAAACATCATGTATTTTTCAGTATGTTTATGTCCTTCAGCACTGTATGCATCCAGTATTATAAAACAAATCTTAAAGGTACCAAGCACTTTACATCTAGAAAGATTTTTTAAAGCACACTGCTTGAGCAAATAAATAGGCTTGGTAGAACGGATGCTTGAAAGGGGTCAGAATCTTAATATATTTTCGAGCTCTGTCATTAGTCTACAACCTACTGCATGACCTCAGATGGCTATTTTGCTTCAGCTTCCCTTTATGTAAAGTAAGCTGTAATCTACAGATGAAAAGTATTTTAAAGTTTAGCAAGTATTTAGAAACTTCTACCACTAATAGTTTGACATTCCTTAAAAGCTTGCCAATGCCACTCCATCTAACAGTACAGTGCTTTTCAATTTTTCTCCTATTTGCAAAATTCTAACACCATACAAGGCTGTTGTACAGCAAGTTTAAAAAACAAGACTTATTTTAAAAGAATAAAAAGAAAAAGACTTTTTTTTTGCTAATTTTAAAGATGTTCTTGTAAAAAAAATAATTAGAGGAATATGTGCAATTTTCCAAGGGCTAAGGCCAAAAAATTGCATCATGTCATTTTAGAAGGTATTTTGGAACTCTGTTTTAATTCACCAATATTTTTAGGTATCAGTTATTTAGAAATGCATAATCTCTTTGAATTTTATGAGCATATGTCAACACGAGATTTAGCCAGACCAATTAAGGAACATGAGTTTTCATTAGGCTTTTGTTATGGGGATTGTTAAAACAGCTTCAGCAAGAATACGTTTCTAGTCTACAAGATCCATCTCATCACACCAGGTCCCGAGGTCATCAAGGCTCCCTTCAGAGGCGACGGCGCATGAGAGATAAGCACAGAAAAGGCTACGAGGAACCGCATGATAACTCTCCCTAGAAAAACAGCGCGATACAGGAAGCAGCACTCCACCACCGCGCTCGCTTCTAAACAGCCATTTTACTTCACTACATCCTTCCCTACAGCCAGCCTTCATTTTGTGTTCCTGCCTGGCTACGCGGCTCCAGGCTGACAGCCTGGCGAGGATACCGGGGGCGCGCTCAGGTGGAGGTGAGATGCCTCCCAGCCTCTCCGGGTTCCGAGCGAGCCGCTCCGGTGCCAGGGTCGGGGGAGGGAGGCTTCCCGCCTCCCCCCGTTTTTGAAAGTAAATGAAGGCGCCGCTCCCAATGGCGGGGGAGGGGGGAGCTTGGCTCCCTCCTCCTCCCGGGAGCCCGGCTCCTCCTGGAGAGGCAGGGGAGCCCGGGGACCCCTCTCCTGGCAGGTCGGCCCTGCTATCGTCCCTCCCCCCGGGCGGGCAGTGCCGTGTGTCCCGTCCCTCCCCCCGGGCGGGCGGGCTGGCTGTGCTGTCTCTCCCCCCGGCAGGCCGTGCGAGAGCGGCGGGGCGGGCACTCACCGCTCCGGCAGAGTGAGAGGCAGCGGCGGCGGCGGCGGCCTCATCCTCCTCCGGCGACGGCGGGCCGATCTTGCTGCAGGTGGCCGCCAGCAGAGCGAGCGGTGACGGCTGCGCGTCCTACCCACAATGGGCGGGTTCAGGGAGAGAAGGGGGGTGGCGGTTAGTGCGGGACAGCGACCGGGCTCCTCGCAGACGCGCACACAGGAAGCGGCGGCGGCGGCACCGGCTCCGCACCCGCTCACAACGTGTCACCCGGGGGGGAGGGGGGGCGGGGGGGGAAGGGGCCCAGCCGGGCCTGCGCTCACCTGGGGGGCGGCCGCCCCGGCGGAGGCCGAGGCGGCGCCGTTGCCGTGCTGGAGATACTCGCTGTGGCTGCTGCTGTCCACGTCTAAGGCAGCCATTTCCTCTTGTTTCACGGGCTTCTCGGGAGCTGCGGGCACAGCGGGGAGGGGGAGGGGAGAGTCACTGACGGGAGCGATCACCCCCCTCCCTCTCCCTCCCTCCCTTCCTCCC